TCAGTTTCGGCCTCCAGGGCCTCTCCCCTACCCGGCTATAGGCTATAGGACCATCTATCAGCCTTAGGCCCGTAGGGCCTGTCTGTCCTAGGGGTAGCCCGGGCCTGCTATTCGCAGTTAGGGTAGCTGTAGGAAATTCTAGTTAGTACGGGCCTTTATTTCCTCGAATTTGCGGATATGTCCCTCTCGAATTTTCCTTAAATTCTAGTTAGTACGGGCCTTTATTTCCTCGAATTTGCGGATATGTCCCTCTCGAATTTTCCTTACAGGCATGTCTCTCGGTTAGCCCTCAGCCAAACAAAATCATGAATCTATCCTACCTATGGTACAGCCTCGACGAGAGAGGCTACAGGCCAGTGGAACCAGCAAGTCATTGCAGAGCTCGCTCCGCATTTAGACGTCGTGCCGGTATCATCCGTAACCACGTCGAGCTTCTCCGGTGCATGACCCTACAGCGGAACTGGACTCATCAGGGGTCTACGTCACGATTGAGTGCCAACTGACGCATATACGATCTACTTATCACGTAGACCTTACCCATTTCACCCTTGAAATCCAAACACTGAAATGACCCCATGATCTGTCTGTTTAACCGTCCCTCAACATCAACCCTCAACACATGGGTGATCTTCTTATTGTTGCGCAGCCAATGTCGCACTTCAAGACCATTGGGACGAAAACAAATTTGAATTTGTCCATCCATACATGGAAATCTCTTCATAATTGCCAAGGATGTGCAACACACATGCGCAGCCAATGCCGCACTTCTTCAAGACCATTGAGACGAAAACAAATTTGAAATATTTCCATCCATACGTGGAAATCTATTCGTAATTGCCAAGCATGTGCAACACACTTCCGGTTCTTTAGCAGAAGATCTAAAATTAAGCAGCAAATCACCGATACTTTTATTCTTCAAAAAAACCATTCTCATTCGCCTCACCACCATCTTCTTCCATTCCTCATCCTAATCTGCACACATCATCAATCTCCAGCAGACAACTCTTATTCCAGGCTTACTTAAAAGTTAAAACTTCATTATAAGTAACCCGAATAACCAAACGGCCGGCGCCTAACATTGACACCAAACATCCTTCAGATCGTCCCAGATAGGACAGGTCAGTTCAATGATTCAATCACGATATCCCAAGGCTGTCGCCCTTTTTTTTTTTTTTTTTTTTGGAAACTGTACTTCACCAAAAACAAAGTTAAACTATTAGTACCTAGGTGCTTGGTTCTATTTCCACAGTAGGAAGGCAGTAGAAAGTGGCTGGTGGGGTTTGGAGGAAGCGTCATTTGGCCCGCTGGAACTTAGTTCCCGCGGCCCGCCTTAGGGGCGCTAAAGTTCGATTGTTGTCCTGTTTGTTCCCGTGTTTTCCGCTGGTGTGTCTAGGGGACCAATAGGACGCCTTAGGGGGTTGGTCCCCTCGGGTTCCGACCCGTAAGCAAAACTGGGTAATGGTCCCAGCCTTCGGGTAGACTGTGAGAACCCCGGCCTCAAATTGTTATTATGAGGGACATTGGGCCCGGTTCCCAACTCGTGCAGCTCCCCACGGTTCCCCACTCTGGCGACGACCAGGCCGCCGGGCGGCCTGGGGCCCAGCCTAGTAAATTACCGAATTCAAGTTTTTTTTGCTTCTTTCAAAGCTGAATTGCTTGCAGCAGTGCAAAGTTGTTGTTGTGTTTCTAAAAGTGATAAACAACACTTTGGCAATATTTGTATCCCATAGATAAGTAGTTGGTCCTCTTTCCGTCTGTCTTTGCATGGGCTTCTGCGCGCATGGGGAACGCTATTCTTCATTTATACTACGAAGTACTACAAACAACAGGTTTTCCGGTTTTCTTTTGGCCTTTTTCTGCACTTTTTTGCTGTCGTTTGCGGTTGGGTGTAACTCGGAAGTATAATTTAATTCACAACTGTTCTTGCATACAGCAGCACCAGTCTGGAGCGGATCAGGAAACCGAAAGAAAAAGCAAAGGAAAAAAGAAAGAAGGGAAAGTGGTCCAAAGTAGTGTGAGAGGGAAAGTAGTCCAAAGGACGTTGTTGTTGTTGTTGTTGTGGTCGTCAACGTGGTGCTGGTTTCGTGTTCGTGTTGGTTGTTGTGGTGGGGGTGCGGGTTGGGGTTGTTGTTGTCGTCGTGGTCGTCATGGTCGTGCTGGTTGTTGTGGTGGTGGTGGGGGTTGGGGTTGGGGTTGGAGTTGTTGTGGTTGGTGGTGGTGTTGGAGTGCTTGGTGTTGGTGTTGTTGTGGTTGGTGTTGGTGTTGTTTGGGGTTAGTGTTTGGGGTTGGTGGTGTTTGTTGTTGGGTGTTGGGGTTGTTGTGGTTGGTGGTGGTGTTGGGGTGGTTGTTGTGGTTGGTGGTGGTGTTGTTGTGGTTGGTGGTGGTGTTGTTGTGGTTGGTGTTGGTGTTGGTGTTGTTTGTGGTTGTTTTTTGGGGTTGGTGTTTGGGGTTGGTGTTGTTGTGGTTGGTGTTGGTGTTGTTTGGGGTTGGTGTTTGGGGTTGGTGTTGTTTGTTGTTGTTTGTTGGGGTTGTTTGTTGGGGTTGTTGTGGTTGGTGGTGGTGTTGGGGTGGTTGTTGTGGTTGGTGGTGGTGTTGTGGTTGGTGTTGGTGTTGGTGTTGTTTGTGGTTGTTTTTTGGGGTTGGTGTTGTTTGGGGTTGTTTGTTGGGGTTGGGTGTTGGGGTTGTTTGTTATTGGGGTCATCATGGTTGTGCTGGTTGTTGTGGTGGTGGTGGTGGTTGTGGTTGTGATTGTTTTGGGGATTGTTGTGGTTGGTGGTGGTGTTGGGGTGCTTGGTGTTGGTGTTGGTGTTGGTGTTGGTGTTGTTTGTTGTTGTTGTTTGGGGTTGGTGTTGTTTGTTGCTGTTTGTTGGAGTTGGGTGTTGGGGTTGCTGTGGTTGGTGGTGGTGTTGGGGTGGTTGTTGTGATTGGTGGTGGTGGTGGTGGTGTTGTGGTTGGTGTTGGTGTTGGTGTTGGTGTTGTTTGTGGTTGTTTTTTGGGGTTGTTTGTTGGGGTTGGGTGTTGGGGTTGTTTGTTGTTGGAGTTGGGTGTTGGGGTTGGGGTTGGTGGTTGGGGTGGGGGTGGTGGTGGTTGGGGTGGTGGTGGTGGTGGTGGTGGTGGTTGTGGTTGTTGTTGTTGTTGTGGTGGTGGTCGTGGTCGTGCTGGTTGTTGTGGTGGTGGTGGTGGTTGTGGTTGTGGTGGTGGTTGTGGTTGTGGTTGGGGTTGTTGTGGTAGGTGGTGGTGTTGGGGTGCTTGGTGTTGTTGGTGTTGGTGTTGGTGTTGGTGTTGGTGTTGTTTGTTGTTGTTGTTTGGGGTTGGTGTTGTTTGTTGTTGTTTGTTGGGGTTGGGTGTTGGGGTTGTTGTGGTTGCTGGTGGTGTTGGGGTGGTTGTTGTGGTTGCTGGTGGTGTTGTTGTGGTTGGTGTTGGTGTTGGTGTTGTTTGTGGTTGTTTTTTGGGGTTGTTGTTGTTTGGGGTTGTTTGTTGGTGCTGGGTGTTGGGGTTGTTTGTTGTTGGGGTCGGGGTCGTGGTCGGGGTCGTGCTGGTTGTTGTTGTGGTGGTGGTTGTGGTTGTGGTTGTTGTGGTTGGTGGTGGTGTTGGGGTGCTTGGGTTGGTGTTGGTGTTGGTGTTGGTGTTCTTGTGGTTGGTGTTGGTGTTGGTGTTGGTGTTGGTGTTGGTGTTGTTTGTTGTTGGTGTTTGGGGTTGGTGTTGTTTGTTGTTGTTTGTTGGGGTTGGGTGTTGGGGTTGTTGTGGTTGGTGGTGGTGTTGGGGTAGTTGTTGTGGTTGGTGGTGGTGGTGTTGTGGTTGGTATTGGTGTTGGTGTTGTTTGTGGTTGTTTTTGTTTG